AATCATGTGCCCCATAAGAAATGGCTTTTTGTTGAAGTAAAATGGGAAGGTCATATTACAGTCTCGCATTGGCTGGTATCCATGCACAGCGCCGAAGGGCTTATAGTTGGCATCATGTCTCAAACTATGGCTCCTGGAGGGAAGGAAAATTGCTTACAGCTCTGTAAACTGAAATAAGACTACTTCTCAACCAGTTTTCCCAGGGTTAAATGAGTATAGGGCTGAAAACATTGGTAGAGAAAGGATATATCTGAGCCAGATGAACGATGAGTCCTTCATGGAGAGCAAGACGTACTATAATGAAGTCACTACTCTTCATAGCAAGTACCCATGTATAATATAGTGAACATTAAACATAATGGAAGCAATATTTCCTGGAGTGAGAGTAGTCTGGCCAGGGCATTCTGGGATACCTGAAGTTTGGAGATAAGGGATTTTCAGTAGATAAAATATAAATGCTGAAGCATAAATCAGGAAAAATGAGCTAACAAGGAGGAAGTCCGCTAGAGTTACAGCAGGAGTGATGCCAGATTTACAAATGCAGGAGAACTGACAAGAAAAAGAAAATTTGTAGTTATGGGGAACTTCTAGTTTTGTGGCTTTGATGAGGCAAAGTTAAAACATGTATTAAAAATAATGGTAGTTGAGCTATAGTTGTGGGAGAAAGGACATTTTCCAGTGGAGGACTTTAGTCATAGAAGCATTCATAAGAAGGAGCTAATTGAAGACATAGGACAAATGGGAATAGAAAGGTCAGAAATCATTCACACTGAAGTGATGTCCAAAGTTAAAACCATCCTTTCTGCATAATTTGAGTCAAAAGTTGGCACTTCTTGAACATATTTCTGCTAGTTTGAATTCTGCCATCTGTTACACAACTCAGAGAAAAACTGAAGAGTATCAAGAACCCAGCCTTGTGCCAACTACATAGGTCAGATATTGAGGGGAAAATATAAGGTCTCCACTAAAGAAGGAGACATGAGAAAGGTGGGATTTCATCCAGGGGAAGATTGTACAGGGGAATAGCAACAGTTCTGAGTGTGGCAGAAAAAAAAATCACAGTGATATGAGGCAGGATTAGCAAGGTAGGAGGTTCACAAAGGACGTGTTTTTGTGTGTAGATGAGATTAAGTATGAAGGCTAATGGGAGAATGAGACATCAAGTCATAATGAAGCACTTGGGCTCAAAGTAGCAATGGATTTGTGCATCATTTTACTTTTCAAAAGGAAGAATGTGGTAAACTCCACACAGAGCTAGATGAAGAAAGCTTCCAAGAAGGCACGTTGGCTTGAAGTACAGCATTAGTAGTCCTGCACCAGCACTGTTTACTCTTTAGCATCTAGCTTCCAACATTAGTTTTCATGCATAAAACTAGATCATTTTGCTTCACCAGGAAGCTTAACCCCCCACCACCCCCAAAAGGGCATTTTATAAGTTTTCCTTTTATTAAAAAGGTAGGTCAGGGGCAGAGTAGGGCAATCTGGAGACATCACAACACAGGATCCCCCATGGCTCTAACCTCATTGCTTGTGCCTGTGCCCCCCCCACCCCTTGCATAGTGTCAGGGGTCCCCCTCCCCTACCAGAGCATCATGGGGCATCCTTCTTTCCCCCAGGAACAGAAGCAGGGTCCTTCCCAAGAGAGAAAGGAGTGGCAGCAGAGGCCCCCCCAATTGTTTACCCCAGAAGTTGGGGTATTTGCTTAAGTGGGTATAGCTGCACTCTTCTCCTCCTGCCATACACTGAGTGTTTTCAGGGCCGTCCTAAGCAGCTCATAGAGAATAGGTCCATCAATGGCTATCAGCCAAGATGATCAAGGACACAACCCCAATCTCCAACTGCCAGAAGCTGGGACTGGACAAAATGGGATGGATCACTCAAAATTGCCTTGTTCTGTTCATTCCCTCTGAAGTATTTGGCACTGGCCACTATCAGAGATAGGATACTGGGCTAGATGGACCATTGGTCTACCCCCAGTATGGCCGTTCTTATGTTCTTAAAAGCAGCATTCTTGGCGGTAACATCCCGGGAAGATGTATAGCGCCGTTTATTCCTTTCAGTGCTATTGTTTCATGATGTGTGCCCACTCAGACCGACATCACTGTGTTGATTACCTCTGGGTCACATTTTCAAGAATAACTATTACAGCTAGAGACTTCATTTTATTTATAATCATACGACTTCAAGAGCTGGGTTTCTAGGTAAAAGCCTATATTACCTGTGCTTTAACCTAGCCCTGTAGTAAGTGTTATTTGATCTTTGGATCCCGGTCAGGTTCACCGTGGTTTGCCTGTAGGGCAATTCAGTTGATGGGATTCAGTTGAAGATGAACATGAAAGAAGTCTCATCAAATCAATTCCCTGCCATTACAGGGGTCTAGCTATTGCGGCATCTCAGTCCTTCCTATTCTCTGCGTGTGGGACAGAGCAGTTTAGTCTCCTGGGAGCTGTAAATACTGTAGTATAATTCAGATTATTGGGCTCAGTACAGGGATAACTGGGTAGGTTTTGTTGCCTATGATGTGCAGGAGGTCAGACTAGATCTGAAAGTCCCTTCTGGCCTTAGGACTCTGAAATAGCCATGTTGTTTGTACTTTGCTCAGTTACTCAATCAATGATTTCACGAGGATCATGAAACCTTAAATTGGCCTCCAGTTTCTAAAATATTTGTACATCAGTTAATGTGACATGTAATGCCTTGAAGAGTTCTAATATCTTAAATTGTAGAGAGGTGTTAAAGCAGACAGTAGGGGCTAGATTTTCAAAAGAGATCAACTCCCACTTAGACGCCTAAGTAAGGACAAATTTTTAAACAAATACTGAGTACCCACCAGCATCTCCCACTGAGACACCCAATGTACTTAGTTCTATTGACCATTTATCCCCATATATTGAAAGCTTCTAGTGCAAACCTGGGAATATTACTCCTATACAGTGCAGTTTTTGTAAATAGAATTACAGTGCATCCGACATTCATCTCATTTTTGCCTGTTACTTGTTACAGCTAAATATTGTACAGCCTTGCTGTGCAATTATGCTGATTGAAAAGATGATTATGTTGAAGTCACCTATGATGATAATGATCGTACATTTATATAGTTCCTTTCATTGCAAAGCACTTTACAAATGGATAGACAAAATTATACATAGGAATCATTTCATACTCCCCCAAAATGCAGCTACCTCTAGAATGAAATTCAGCAACTGTTTAACAATGCACAACAGTAATAATAGAGTATGGTAGGAAGTGAAGAAAATGTTTTCCAGCTGCAACTACTGAGGGATTTGAAGTAGCTAAACACTAGATACCAGAGCTGGAATTTAATTAGAACATTTTGGGTTAAATGCCCCCATACAACTTTTCTAAAAAGACCCATGGGTTCCTTAATGTCCAAAATTGGTCATTGGCTCATTTTTATGTCTCATCTGAAAGACGGAAGGAACAGGGCTCCATGACTCCATGCTATGATACTGATTTATTACTAACTCAGAGGGAAGAATACCATCTACTTAGTCACCTCATTATCTATTGGGAAAGTACATTACTCAGGCCATGCAGATACTACAGATGTCTGCTGTATAGCTGTAATGGCTAGGGGTGTGAAAGGGTGCAATCCCTGACAAACATAGATGTGCCAGCAGAAGACCCTAATGTAAATGCAGTAATAAATGCAAAATTGCACTTTTACTGGTACAGCTTGTTTTGCTGAGCGGGATGGAGGTAGAATAAGCCATATTGCCATGAGCACAGATTTGCTAGTATAAGCTGCATCCATATTAGCAGTATGTTGCTATTAGGATTCTGTCCTGCACCAGAGCTGCACTACATTCTACCAGTGGTTTATGGTCCTTGATTGATCCTACACCAGTGGAAGATAGGCATAGTATAGCAGAGCTCTACCCTGCCTCCTACCATCCCTGCCAGGCCCCATCTACCAGGTATGGGGAAGGCATAAGCATAGACCTTGGCAACAGCACAGAATCATCACCTGGCTGGCTCAAGGGGGCCATAGCCACCATTTTGAATTTGGGCCCAAAATTGCTTATTGGTATAAGCATACAACAAATTAAGTTCAAAATATGAACATCTCAGAGGTCAAAGTTTTCCTTACTTTCCACTTTTGTGCAAAACCTGTGAAATGGGGCAAATGTTCTTTTTAAAAAAAAACAACAAAGATTAATTTTGAAGGAGATTTTGTAATTTCTTTAGAACAATAATCACGTCATATCCATTTTGAAATTCCTGCATTTTCAATGTGAAAAATGGCAATTCCATGAAAAATAATATTTCTGGGGATGAAACAAAATGAATTTTTTTTGCTTAATATCTTGTAGAATACTATTTGACAATTTTACAGTGTTCTTACATTCTTCTGACTGATTTGATTCAATATTAAGTATAACCCCCCTACTCCTCCCCCCAAGAACGCCAGTTCATAAACTGAACTATACAGGGGTTATTTCCCCCATAAAAGAATATAATCAAATATTAAACTAACCTTCTGTGGCAAGTAACAGAAGGAATACCAGACATCCAGACACTAGATGAGATGTATTGTCACCTTGTAGAATAATAATGACAATTTACCTGCACTCAGAGAAATGTCAGTTGGGAGCCATCAATGAACATAAGCCACTGAAGTGTGAGGGAAGCCCAATATTATGTCTGTCATCTGAACTATGAACTAACTTTTCCATCAGATCTGTCAGCGTTTGAGGAAGAACATTCTGACTGATACGACTGCCTCACCTTATTTTGTCACTTTAACAAGGACTATTGGAGAAAGAATTTAAAGAGGCAAGCTTCTCAAAGGCTTGAAATTCAGCTTGTTTTAAAAGTCGACTTTTATGACCGATTTTCTCATGCACATACAGAATTACTTTTCCCCTCACTGTCTAATGGCTTAAATATTGTCAGCTAGACTCTGTTTCAAGCAGCAAATCGCACTTAGATCAGTTTATCTGTCATTCTGTTTCTGACACATGCTTTTCTGTTAACAGGTCGTCATGGAGATGGGGCCTATTGGCCAGTTGACACGAACTTGATTGACAGAAGCAGCCTTAATGGTAAATATAGACTAAATTAGACTCCATCCAATTAAGTTTCATTATTAAGTCCTTTTTCAGTAGTAAACCACATCCTCTCTCTCCCTCCCCACAACCTTCTTCACCACTTATAAGGTTGCTCGGTTCATATATGGGTGAGATTTTCAAAATCCCATTCAGAGTATGATAGTTTGTGTTACAGAATCATAGAAAGGGTCATCAAGCCCCTGCTCTGAGGAGAACCAAGTAAACCTAGCCCATTACTGAGAGGTGTTTGTCCAAACTTTTCTTAAAAACCTCCAGTGATGGGGATTCCACAATCTCCCTTGGAAGCCTATTTCAGAGCTTTTAACTACCCTTATAGTTAGACAAGTGTCCTAACCGAAATCTCTCTTGCTACAGATGAAGCCCATTACTTCTTGTCCTACCTTTAGTGGACATGAAGAACAATTGATCAATATCCTCATTATAATAGACCTTAAAAGAATGGCAGACTATTCTCATGTCCCCCCTCAGTCTTCTTGCTGATTTCAGACTAATTCTATGGGCAGGTGTTCACTACAGGGGGGGGTTGATTTAAGATACGCAAATTCAGCTACGCGAATAGCGTAGCTGAATTCGACGTATCGGAGCCGACTTACCCCGCTGTGAGGACGGCGGCAAAATCGACCTCCGCGGCTCCCAGCCGACGGTGCTTACTCCCACCTCCGCTGGTGGAGTAAGAGCGGCAATTCGGGGATCGATTGTCGCATCCCGACGAGATGCGATAATTCGATCCCCGAGAGATCGATTTCTACCCGCCGATTCAGGCGGGTAGTGTAGACCTAGCCTATAATTTGTGAAGATCATTTTGAATTCTAATCCTGTCCTATAAAGTGCTTGCAACCTCTTCCAGCTTGGTGTCATCCACAAATTTTATAAGCGTATTCTCCATTGCATTATCCAAGTATGAATGAAAATATTGAATAGAACCGGACCCGGGAATGACCTCTGTGGGACCCCACTAAATACACTCTCCCAGTTTGACAGGGAACGATTGATAACTACTCTTCGAGTATGGTCTTTCAACCAGCTGTGCACCCACCTTGTAGGAATTTCATCTAGACCACATTTCCCTAGTTTGCTTATGAGAATATCATATGAGAGCGTGTCAAAAGTATTTCTAAAATCAATATATATCCTGTCTACTGCTTCCCCTGTATGCCCTAAGCCAGTAGATGAAGAGGAATAACAGTTTTGATGAGTTGAAATCATATTTCAAATACTATAGTTAGATAGACATTAATGGATCTTAGTACACTTGAGAGGGGAAGACCAGGTGGAGTTAAGTGAAATTTAAACAAGGCTGTTATTGTTAAGATTTTGCTATGAGGAAGCCTGTAGTAGTATTATATTCCATTTCCAACTGAGGTATCTCTATAAGCACTGGTGCAAAGTAGCCTGTAAGAGAAAAGAGATTAAAGGAGATTAAAGAGTAAAATTAAATAGATTGAGAAATTTTAATTATTCCTTGACAGCTTCTAACCAATAACTAAATAGTTATTATATATATTGTAGATTTAGCAAATTTAAACTACAGAAAGAGGAAATTATTCCATTTTAAAAAGCATGTCGGAAAGGTAGCCCTCTTTTTTTTTGTGTGTGTGACAAGTTAAAAAAAATCTGTTTTGGCTGTTTGAAGCTGAACCAGGAAAGTAAAAAATAAATAAATCCCTGTCATATTTCCAGTCAAAAAGATGTTCTTTCCCTAGTAGAAGCTTATTGTAAAACCAGTTAGCTATTTTCTTCATAGGAGATATTTTAGTTATATCTCACATCATAAGAAAAATGATAAGAAGGAAGTATTAGAAATAAAACAGAGAACCAAAAGATCTTAAAGGGAAAACATCATAAAAAGTATTTCATGGTATTTTGTTTCAATGTGTTAAACCTCCTGTTGGCAAATGCAATCTTAATTAAACCTGAGCTGATATAGCAAGACACAGGAGGAAAAGCTGTGGATTACTAAAGATTAACTGAATCTGACCACTATCACCTGAGTTTTAGATATGCTATCAACACCTTTTCCTCCCCAGTTACCTAATGGAGCTTTAGTTTTCACATTATTGAACAAATGAGAAGAACAGAGCACCTGAGGTGCTGTATAAAGCCAGTCTGGAAAATACACAATTATTGCAAGGCACCTAACTGATTAAGTGAGACTGATTACTTTCCACAGACAAGACAGGGAGGGAATACTGAACTCAGTAACGTTTCCCTGTTATATTTTGCCAGTTGACAGATGTATGCTTCATATCTTAGACATGGCTCCTGCTGTTACCAGCAACTTAGTAATGGTATCTTAGACAAAATCAGATCCATCTAATTAGTACCCTACTTTGTTTTGTACTTAAGAATTTTCTTTTATCAGATCAAGGTCGGCCTGGACTTTAGATCATTTTTACCAACTATAGCATTATCAGCAGAAACCTCACCACATGAGGTAGGGTTCAGCTATAAACAAACTTTTCTAAAGCTCTTTCTCATGATTAAAAAAAGGCACAAAGCATTTGAAAATCAAGAACTGACGAAGACTTTTGTAACTCCCCTAAAGCACACAATTGAGAAAGAAGTTGCCCAGTAAAATAATGGCTTGTTTGCGGGACATTGGACACCCATTTGCACTGCTTTATGCCACTTCTGTGAAGCTGAACAATGTTGTTTAAAATCCAGATTCACAGATTCATAGATTCTAGGACTGGAAGGGACCTCGAGAGGTCATCGAGTCCAGTCCCCTGCCCTCATGGCAGGACCAAATACTGTCTAGACCAGTGGTTCCCAAACTGGGGTTCGCGAACCCCTGGGGGTTCGCAGAACGTTACAGGGGGTTCGCCAGAAAAACTTCACTAATGGCGGACAGAGGACCCTGGGCATTGGAGACAGCAGGTGGGACCCGGTTGCAGGGCAGACACCCCGAGCCCCAGGGAGAGCGGGGCTGGGCAGTTGGGGCTGGCAGCCCGAGCTCCATCCCTGTCAGCGGGGGAGCCGGCAGCTCAAACCCCAGCGCTCTGCGTGGGGCTGACAGCCTGAGCCCCAGGGAGAGCAGAGCCAGGCAGTTGGAGCTGGCAGCCCGAGCCCTGCCCCCCGTCAGTGGGGGAGCCGGCAGCCCGAACCCCAGTGCACCGGCAGGGCTGGCAGCCTGAGCCCCAAGGAGATCGGGGCCGGGCAGTTGGGGCAGGCAGCCCGCGTCCCGGTGGTCAGTGGGGGAGCCGGCAGCCCGAACCCCAGCGCTCTGCACGGAGCTGGCAGCCCGAGCCCCAGGGAGAGCGGGGCCGGGCAGTTGGGGCAGGCAGCCCGAGTCCCGGCGGTCAGCGGGGGAGCCGGCAGCCCGAACCTCAGTGCTCAGTGTGGGGCTGGCACCCTGAGCCCCAGGGAGAGCGGGGCCGGGCAGTTGGGGCTGGCAGACCGAGCCCCGCCCCCGTCAGCGGGGGAGCCGGCAGCCCGAACCCCAGCTCGAGCCCCAGGAAGAGCGGGGCCCGGCAGTTGGGGCATCCATCACACTGAGTAAATTTAATCGTAAATCTCTGAAAATATTCATTTTTAGGAGGGGATTCACGAGCTTTCACAATTTAGTGAAAGGGGTTCGCGGGCTGTTAAAGTTTGGGAACCACTGGTCTAGACCATCCCTGATAGACATTTATCTAACCTACTCTTAAATATCTCCAGAGATGGAGATTCCACAACCTCCCTAAGCAGTTTATTCCAGTGTTTAACCACCCTGACAGTTAGGAACTTTTTCCTAATGTCCAACCTAAACCTCCCTTGCTGCAGTTTAAGCCCATTGCTTCTTGTTCTATCCTTAGAGGCTAAGGTGAACAAGTTTTCTCCCTCCTCCTTATGACACCCTTTTAGATACCTGAAAACTGCTATCCTGTCCCCTCTCAGTCTTCTCTTTTCCAAACTAAACAAACCCAATTCTTTCAGCCTTCCTTCATAGGTCATGTCCTCAAGACCTTTAATCATTCTTGTTGCTGTTCTCTGGACCCTCTCCAATTTCTCCACATCTTTCTTGAAATGCGGTGCCCAGAACTGGACACAATACTCCAGTTGAGGCCTAACCAGCGCAGAGTAGAGCGGAAGAATGACTTCTCGTGTCTTGCTCACAACACACCTGTTAATACATCCCAGAATCACGTTTGCTTTTTTTGCAACAGCATCACACTGTTGACTCTCATTTAGTTTGCGGTCCACTATAACCCCTAGATCCCTTTCTGCCGTACTCCTTCCTAGACAGTCTCTTCCCATTCTGTATGTGTGAAACTGATTGTTCCTTACTAAGTGGAGCACTTTGCATTTGTCTTTGTTAAACTTCATCCTGTTTACCTCAGACCATTTCTCCAATTTGTCCAGATCATTTTGAATTATGACCCTGTCCTCCAAAGCAATAATCAATCTGAGGCTTCTTGATTCCAAATAATTCATATTTACTGTGTAGTCTTAAGTCCCTGAGAAAACTATAGAAAATATGGATGTTTCTAAAGGATATTATTTTGTGTGAAAGCTAGAATGAAGGCTGTTATTTAACCTGGTGGGGTTTTTTTAATGGAAGCTTCTCCAGTCTTTTTCAGCAAGTGTTATATTAAGACATGAGAGATACTGTGATTTTAAACAAAAGAAAACCCTTCCTATTACCTCTAGAAAATATCAATTTGTGGTTTATATGTTCAGATGCTAAAGGTAATGTGTGTGCTTAAATGATTACTACTGTCTGGATATGTCTTTAAGTTGTTATGGCATTTGTTTGAAGTTCTCTGTGCCTATTCCTGTTCCTGGCTTCAAAGAGATTGAGGAGGGTCTGGAGTCCAGGACATCTTGTTTGGAGGAAAATGTGTGAACATGGATTCTGCAACCTTAATAATGATCAGACCAGTCCAGTCAGTACTTTATTACATGAATCACTATCCTGGGTTGCAAGAGAAAAACTTAAATAAGCCTTTAGCAATTTCCTCCATCTTGTATCAATTTCACACTAGTGTTACATCCATGAACTTACTCCTGCTTCACATGGTGAAGAATGGAACACCCGACCTGCCATTTGTTTACTGTTTCTATAGGAATAATAATTATTACTTAAGCATCCACCACGTGCTCTGTACAAGACATAGAAGGCACAGTCCATGCTTTGTGAAGCTTATAGTCTAAGTAGACTTTTGAGATAAAATTTACTGAAAAGCCTTCAGAAAGGTTCTATCTTGCAGCTTTGTTTAATTTGCTTGATATAGCAAGTGGTTAACAGAAGTTTTACAGATTTGGGTTAATAGTTGTTGGCTTCGTGGAAAAATTGAGTTTTGTGGAGAGAACAGAGGATGGATTCATGAACTAGGGAAGGAGGAAGGGCTAATTTTGTTTTACAGGTGTTTACTATACATGTCATATTCCTTATACACAATATGGAAATGAAAAAAAAAAACTACTGAATTCCTGTACTATGTCATTCTAATGACAAAAGCCATGAAACTCACAACTGCTTGTCATGTTCCATTGCCTGAAAAAGAACTATGAGAAAAAGTCAATTTATTTAAACAAATTAATTTGTTATGTAAAGAAATCACACTACAGTACAGAATGAAGATAGAAAATTACAATAAAATTACATTTATCACTAGCTAAAATGGCAATTTAGAAAGCTTTGACCTTTGGCATGTGCTCATTCAGTTCTAATGAAGGCAAAATGACTTCACAGTCACTTTTTTAAAGTCACAGATGGGCTTTTGGGATGCTGACACTGTTTGAAATCTCTTGACAGACTCTGCTCATGAAGTTATTGACAAGTTCTCCAAACTTAAGTGGCATCATCTCTTGGTTTTCCTGAGCTCTTAGTCTTTATAGGATCCATTAGAAGACAAAATAACCAAAGTGCATATTGTCCTATGCTAGTGTTTATAATGTATGATCCTGAACCTTCAGTCCTTACTCAGGCAAAAACTTCCTTTGACCGAAATGGAAATTTTGTTGAATAAAGACTGCAGGATTGGGCCCTCTCTGGATGGTATGCAAGGGGAGTAATTATTTTTCTATGTAAGTTATGCAAGAAGCTGTCAACGCAGTTGAAAAATGTGCCATCCACCATGTAATAGCATCCATAAAAACTAGTGAGCAAGGGCCCAATCTTTGAAATCAGTGGTATTGGGATCTGAAACAAGAAATGATGTAACTTGATTATTTGGGGTCCAGTCTTTTTGTTCCATTGAAGTTAATGGAAAATGAGGATTCTCAGCACAGATTCTCAGAGGATTGATCTCTCTATCTGCTATTGTGTTCCAAGTGAAGCATGATTAACAACTTACATCAGAGGAGCTATATCAATAAATACAATACAATATAATCTGTGGCTTATTATGGGCTGAATGGAATCTTGAGAGATGAATCACACATTCAGATTGGCTAATACACAAGACATTAATTGTTCGGTAAATATCAATAGAGGCTATGTAAGGAATAAAAATGCATATTGCCTTTTTTTTTCAGTTTTAGCTGCTAATAGCAATAGTGAGCTGATAGCTATCAACTCCCAGCAGCTGGTCATTAATTTCCAGTAAACGCCTTGCACCTCAGTCCTTACTGCTTCAATATTTTCCAGTTTGCTATACCACTGAAACACAGTGAAACATAAATTTCAGTGCTTTGTGACACCATTCTGAACCGACTGTCTGTTTTTAAGTAGAATTCACACACCCGAGACAGGCTTTAAATTGTGCCTTTTTATGGGTGGCTTCTGAAAGAGAAGGGGGGTAAATTGTGATCACACTGCATCAAGCAATTTGTCTTCCTGGGCATGAAATAAGTAGGCTATTTCTCATAAGCCATGCCCTTTCATCAGTTATGTCAGAGAAGTATTTGTGTGGCATAAAATATCTTTTTTTCCTGTCTCTTTCAACTGGGGACAAAACTTATCCAGGCAATCTGATGGGCAAAAGGTCTATATTCCAGATCTAGCAGTCTCTGCCAACTGTTGTTGTATATCACATCTGTTTTTTACACTCTGTTGTTAAATTTTGCTGCTGAAACTCTCTCATCATTTATATTTTTTCAGAACCTCCCATAGGGCAGATGCACCCTCCACATGGCAGCGTAACGCCTCAAAAGAACAGCAACCTTCTAGTAATCATTGTGGTCACCGTTGGGGTCATTACAGTGGTGGTGGTGGTGATCGTGGCTGTGATCTGCACCAGGCGTTCTTCAGCGCAACAGAGGAAGTATGTTGCTGGCAAATACCTGAACAAACAGACAAAAAAAGTGGCCACTTTTCTGTTGTTAGGTTTCAAAGATGATATGAGCAAGGTCCTCAAATGAGCATTGAGAGGATGTGGAGTCACAGGCTGAAATATGTAATCAGATCCAGCCACATTGTGCCACTGAAGGGGTGCAAATGTTCCAGAAACTGGATGCAACTGGCCAATGGAGAGAATTTCCCGGTCATATGGGAATTCCCTATTCCAGACCCTTTGCCACACATGGCTTACCCTGGAGGGAGCACATTGGGAGCACACAGTAGAATGGGAGAGGGCATGGTGGGGCAAAGTTAGAGATGCTAAAAAGTAGCTCGAACATTTATTGGGGCCGAGGGCTGATCCTCAGAATCAGACAGCCAGAACAGCCCCCTCATGACTCATCCCTTCTCTGTTCAATCAAACAGGGGGAAGAATCAATTCGATTGATTTAAGGAAAAATGTTATCTGTCTGTGTGGCTAATAATGCCTTCTAGGTACCAGACTGTCTGACTTGACTTCCTCTCTCCATGCAGCTGAAAAATGGAGATGTTCAGGCTCAGTTTTCAGTCTATTGTGAGGCTTTTGTCCTGCAAAAGAAAGTCAACATCTGTTATTCCTGTTATTCATATATATATGTAAAAAATGCCAGAAAACAGCACTGAGACCATTTGAGACCATTTTCATATATTTTAAAGGGACAGTGTAGGGTGCACCAGAGGTGGCATCTGTCTAAGTTGCTGGGGTGTGCTCAAGCTCCGCTCTGCCCCAGGCACCGCCCCCACTTCACCCATTCCCCCAAGTCCCCACCCTCGCCCACCTCTTCCTGCACCCATCTGCCCTGCCCCATTCCGGCTCCCCTCCCCCGAGGGCACCCTGTCCTCGCTCCTTTCCCGCCGCCAGCGCCTCCTGCATGCCACTGAACAGCTGATTGCGGTGGGCAGGAGGCACTGGGAGGGAGGGGGAGAAGCTGATCAGCAGGGCCCGCTGATGGCAGGGCCAGCTCCAGCATTTCTGCCGCCCCAAGCAAAAAAAAAAAAAAAAAGCCGCGATTGGCGGCGGCAGTTCAGCGGCAGGTCCTTCGCTCCTAGAGGGAGTGAGGGACCTGCCACCCCCAAATTGCCGCACATGCCGCCCCTCTCCCTTGGCCGCCCCAAGCATCTGCTTGTTAAGCTGGTGCCTGGAGCCGGCCCTGGCTGATGGGCAGGAGGCGCTGGGAGGAGGAGGAGGATCTGATCGGGGAGGCTGCTTGTGTGTGCTCTATTTTTTCCATGGGTGCTCCATTCCAGAAAGTTAAGAGTGACATCTGGCCCTGGTATAAGAAGAAATTCCACTGGAGTCACCTAATTTGCTGGATTTTACCAGTTAATTGGTTCAGAATTATACAGTAATTATACTATTGAGAAAGAATGAACTTTCTCATATAAAATTTAATCATGTTTTGCATATGAGGAGGACAAATAGTTAGCCGAAGTGCAAGTCAAAAGTCTATTGCATTGATTTTTGTTGATGCTTGAAAAAGAGTGCAGAGCAACAAAAGGATGGTCATGGGCAGGGTAGGTATCCTTAGCCTCTGTTTGCCAGAAGCTGGGAATGGGTGTCAAAGGATGGATCACTTGATGATTCCCTGTTCTGTTCATTCCCTCTGGGGCACCTGGCATTGGCCACTGTCAGAAAACAGGATACTGGGCTAGATGGACATTTGGTCTGACCCAATATGAACGTTCTTATGTTCTTATGTGGCTAAACTGTTTCAATGTCTGCTGAAATTAGCTTTGACCTTGTCAAGCTCAGAGGCAGGGGAGTTTATAGTATAATATAGTCACTGGGAGACAAAGGCTAGATTTCCAAAATATGCAGTCCCTATTTAGGCACCAAAATAAGTAAGCAGGTTTTTAGAAGAACTCAATGTGACAATCAGCTTCAATTGTGGGTTCTGAGCTCTGGCCCCGAAGCCCATGGAAGACAATGGGAGCCTTTCTGTTGACTGCAATGGGCTTTGAATGCAGCCTAAAGCTCTTATTGGATTGCTACTGTGTAGAAGAGATTGGAGGATGTGGAGACTAAGTTAACCGAAACTAAACCTTTTATACTGAAAGTGTGGGAGAAGGGGGAAAGTCATTACATAAAAATAAATAAATACATAAATAAATAAATAAATTCAGGCTCAAGCTCCAGAATTCAAAAGTCTGAAGCCAAACTTCCTCAAATTTGAGGGTGTTGGAGCCTCTTGTTCAGACCATTATGAAGAGATACCTACGCTGAAACAAGGGGTTTTGGATCCAGCTTCCAATGTGGAACTTGCCTCTGATTTTAAAATCACCAGTAAGTTTCAAAATCTGTGACTGAGATGACATCAAGAAAAAGGTTGATTCATGTTGAATATGAACGAAACCTTCCTAACGGTGAAAGTTTTTAATAAAGTAGTGTACAGTAATCTCCCAAGAGCAGGGAAGGCCATACTCCTTGAGGCATTTAAAACATGAGTGGGCAAAACACTATAAAATATACTGTAGGAAAACACTGTACTGATGGAGGGATGGATTAGGAGACCTAATAGCTATTTTCTGTCTCTGACTTCAAGGAGGAATAATGTGTCAGCCATACTAGCTTTCTAGTAATGTAGATGTCTATAAAAAGCAGGAAAGTGGGATGATTAAGTGTTCAGGTTTATGTTATTCTGTAGTACCTACAGCAGGTGCTGCAGCTCTTGAAGTATGTTGAATTGTCTCACATTCTGAAACATCTCAGTAGTCATATCCTCTGTAGTACTAGAAGTTTACTGGCATGCACTCAGAACATGGCCACTAATACTTCCCTCAGGTGGGAACTGCATCTGTTTGCCCTCATTGGCCAGTGCCAGGGGCAGCCCTGTGCCCCATCCTCATGTGCAGCCTTACTATTCATTAATAAAAGATCAGGCAATTTAACTTCTGTATGTAACAAGTCTCCCTAGTATCCACATGTATGTGTATATATGTATTTATTTGTTTGTCATGGACTAGGACCCCATTGTGCTAGACACTGGAGAAGCACACAATATAAATATGGTCTCTGCCCAAAAGACCTTACAATCTTTGTATAAAACAAGAGACAACAGGTGGAGAGACAGATAACAATGAGACAAAATTACATAAAGTAAAGGGCAGTAAATAGAGAGCAAATTAAAGATGATATTAAAAAATATGACCTAGGACTAAAGATTAAAAGAATTGTTCATGTTTAGACTGGATAAGGGAAGGCTGTTGGGGACATGGTAACAGTCTTCACATATGTAAAAGGTTATAATAAAGAGGAGTGTGATAAATTGTTCTCCATGTCCACCGAGGGTAGGACAAAAAATAATCAGTTTTGTTTGCATTAAAGGGATTTAGGTTACATATTAAGAAAAACTTTCTAACAATAAAGATAGTTATTCCAGTTGTGGAATCACCATCACAGGTTATTTTAAAGAACAGATTAGACAAATATTTGGCAGAGATTGTCTAGATATGCTTAACCCTGCCTCAGCATGGAAGGATGAAATAGATGATATCTTGAGGTTTCTTCCAGCCCTATGTGTCTGTGATTCTGCATTATGCAGTATATAGCCAACCCGTGGACTTCACTGTTGCAGGAGTTTGTCAGGACTGGATGGTAAATGACATTGTGCTTAGATTGTATAATATAATGCTTATTAATGGCCTTTGCAGCAAGCTAAAACCATGAAATCTCACATGTGCAATGTAAATTTAAACCTGAGAAGTTCAGAAAACTCAGCTACTGGCCACTGCAAGTAGCAAGGTACTGGTATAGGTGGACCTCTAGTCTGATCCAGTTAGGTAAATCCTATGTTCCTAAGCCACTCCAGAGCACAGCAGCTACATGATAGGAGGTTGTTCTTCAGAAGTTGTCAAGTAGTGAATATGATGTTAAGCATCTGAAGTGGGTAAAGGAAAAGTATGAGAAATAAATAAAGATTGCCTGCAAGGTACTGTTATAACTGATGGTAGCAAATGTGTACAGAGGTAGGAGAAGCTAGGTGGAGACTTAAAGGAAAGCAAAATAAAATTCAGGCAAATAAGGCAGCAGCCACTAGACATCCTCAGTATGTCACTGCAGTTTTCCCTTTGGATATATCTTCTTTTTTCGTTTCACTCTGCATCTCCCACCTTGACATTGCTCATTAGCTGCGGCTTATGTTTTTGACTCTTGCCTGCCAGGCATTAGGTTGCATTTGTTGGCGGTGTGAATGGTGGTGGGGGAGACATGTCATTTCCACTCCTTTAATAGTAACCTGCAGGAAATAACTGAGCTGAAAGTGAAATCACTTCTCATTTGTAAAGAGATTTTTTTTCTTACTAGCACCTTTATATCAGCTGCGTTCCCTTTACTGCAGCCTGTTACAAAAACAAAAGTGCGACAACTGTTATATGTACGATGCTGTCAGGGCAAATGGGGTGAATTGCAAAGGGCTTCATTGAGCTTCTCTTCTATTTATTTGTCTACAGCTGCAGGGAGATAGAATCCCTATCTGCTGGAAGACTTATGATATGGTACAGTAATTGGTTTAAATCAGAGACAAAAAGCTGTTCTCCTGCAGGGGACAAAACATCCTTTCCAAGGTCTGATGCTAATGACTTATCAGCTATGTCTTCACTTATTTGCCTCATCCAAGCTGTTTCGGATAGTGTCTGCATAACAAGAAGCAATGTTTCAGCAAAGTGGAAAGAGCCTTCTTAAAAGATTCAACGTGTAGTGTGTCTTAGTGAATTCCACAAGGTGTACTATATAATTCCATACTCTCTTTGTGTGTGTATTGCAAAGTTAAAGAGTAAAGAATAGTGCATCTTAATTTTTAATTCAATTACCAAAAAGACATTTAAGATTTAATAGTAGTTGCACTCAGCACCATATATCTTCAAAGCACTTTACAAACAAATGAATGTTCATGACTCCCATGCAAGATAGCTGCAGTAAGTAAATGTTATTCATTTTATTGATTGCAACTTGATCAAGTAATGGCAGAGCAGAATTAGAACTCAGGAATTCCTGGCTCAGTGGTCTTTGAATTAGGCCTGTGATGACTTGGTAGATGTAGAAAATGCATTTTGGCCTGAATAGCTTGTGGGGCTCAACAGGAGTTGGTATCAGAGTGGTAGCCATGTTAGTCTGTATCCACAAAAACAACGGGGAGTCTGGTGGCACCTTAAAGACTAACAGATTTATTTGGGCATAAGCTTTCATGGGTAAAACCCCCACTTCTTCAGATGCATGGAGTGAAAATTACAGAAACAGGCATAAATATATATTGGCACATGAAGAGAAGGGAGTTACCTTACAAGTGGAGAACCAGTGTTGAAGGCCAATTTAGTTAAGGTGGATGTGGTACACTCCCAATAATTGATGAGGAGGTGTCAATTCCAAGAAAGGGAAAATTGCTTTTGTAGTGAGCAGGAGCGCCAGCAGCCTTTTTGGTGCCCTAGGCGGCAGAAGGTCCCGCCCCCAAAATGGCGCCCCCGACAGAGGCGGCGGAAGGTCCCGCCCCCAAAATACAGCCGACAACCGCAGCGGCCAGCTGTTCGGCCGCCGCGGTCGCCACCCCCCAAATTTCAGCACCCTAGGCGACTGCCTAGGTCACCTAATGGGTTGCGCCGGCCCTGGTAGTGAGCCAACCACTCCCAGTCCCTATTCAAGCCCAAATTGATGGTGTTAAGTTTGCAAATGAATTGTAGCTCAGCAGTTTCTCTTTGAAGTCTGTTTTTGAAGTTTGAACAGGAGTTGGGAGTGCTCATCACCTGTGAAAATCAAGCTGCTGTTTTTCTGATGACTAAATGTGCACCCAAGTTTGAAAATTTTGGCCTTACTGGGGTGTATCTCACTTTCCTCACCTATAAACTGGATTATACTTATCCGTTTATGTAAAGTGCTTTGAGATCTGCAGATGAAAAATGCTATGTGAATGCTCAGGCAGATTGTTCTGCAAATACCATTAAAAATAAAACAGAGGGGCTGCATGTTTTCCATATTTTTAGACTGCTTAAAGTGAGTTTAAATAATGCATCTCCAATGAGACTTGTTAGGTAGCTGCAACAGAGAGCTCTTGATTTATATTTAAGTTGCATACGTTTTCTTTAACAGCAGATGCACATATGTCGCTGAATGTGTGTGCGTGCATGTTTTGTGTATATACACACACACTGTATGGTCTTGTAAGGATAGAACATATTGTAATGAATATACATAAGGAGGAAAGTTAATGTTGCTGTGGGGTATATCACTCTGAATTTCTTAGCTTTTGTGTGATAAAAATCATGTTTTAATATACTTTTAAGAAATATAATGTATGCTGTAGCTGTTTATGGAAAGTCTGAGACCTGCAGGACACTGCGGGAATATATACTGCATTATTCAATTGCTGTTGCTATATGTAGTTAAATCAGAAATTATAGTCTTCCCAAGAGGAACTTCACAATTCCCCTATTGTTTCTGGAAGGAATTTTTCTCCAATTGCACATCAGCTGGTGCACAGATGACCTGCCCTGCTGAGCCCCAAGCCCACCCTCTGGGCAAGAGTCAAAAGCAGTATTTATTCTCACTTTCCCCTTTCATTCATTTCCTAAACATATGCTGCCAGTGAGACACCTTTATGTCTAGCTCTAACGGATTGGCAAGTGGCCTCATCTGGAACTAACACCAGTGCCACTTCATGGATCAGCAAGCAGCTGGTGCTAGACAGAGAGACACCTGGTACCCACCCCCGTGCCCTGGGGATTTAACATATCATGGCTATCATACATTTATCTCTAGAGGCCTAAAGGCATAGCAGTCAGATCCAAGATAACTGGTTCTTAAGCCTTGTAGGACAAACCTAAATGGATTTATTTGTTGCGTAACCTGAGATCACTTAATTTGTATGGGTATTTTTTTTTGTTGGGGGATATTTTCTTAGATTTCAATCTGGACTTTTTCCACAGAAAGCGTGCTACCCATAGTGCTGGGAAAAGGAAGGGCAGCCAGAAAGACTTGAGGCCCCCAGACCTCTGGATACACCATGAAGAGATGGAGATGAAGAATATTGAAAAGCCATCAGGTTCTGACCCCTCAGGAAGAGACTCGCCGATGCAGAGCTGTCAAGACATCACGCCAGTCAGCCACAGCCAGTCTGAAACTCAGCTGGGCAGCAAGAGTGCCTCACAGTCTGGTAATATCACCACCATTGTGCTCACTGAAATGTTCCAGCTCTGACCTGCCTGGAGCTGTTTTTAACTTCAAGAATCTGTAGTGATATGAAAATATTCTCTTTGGGGGGCAGAATAACACAGTCAGTCTGAAATCAATAAACCTGGGTGCTATGGTCCAGATTTGGCCTAGCTGTATACAGTTATGTCAGAGAGAGAAAAGGGTGCTCATAATCCTTGTACATGGGCCTGCCACCCTCCCATTGTTGCACTCCTAGACATAAGGACTGGGGAGCATCCAGCAAAATCAAGCCAACATAGGGTGGAAATGTGCAATGTACATTTGTAAAGGGTACTACAGTGGTTGTTCTAAAATGTGCCTCTGAGGGACTCCCCTGCTGAAGGCCCCCTCCACCAGTGCCAGCCGTGATTAACAGGCCCAATACAGTTCTGGTAGTATTGCCAGCTCCAGGCATTCAAAAATCACAATTCAAGCCATCCACAGATTGGTTTAAAAATCACGAGATTTAAAAATAATTAATTTAGGCTCTATTTATTTGCCTTCTGGTGTTGGAGTATTTAGAGTCATGCTGTCAAGATAATAATCAGATTCCAGGAACCTGGGCTCTAGCAAACACACCAATTATCAGAAGACTTGTAATAACATTGTGAGAGTTGGCAACACTGCAACTGGGCATGGTGGCAGATACTTCTTGTCTAATGTAGCAGCATGACTAGCTGCATGGGTAGCTTCTAATGCAAGTGGAGCAATACGCTGAAATTGAGATCTGAGGGAATGAAAAATCACCTGGACCCACAATTGATGAACAGAGTATATTGTATACAATATTGGAAGGTTTTAGCTTATCATAATCAAGTATTCCCAATTGCTTTAATGGATAAGAATGATTTTTCAAGAATTCGAACATTAAGCAACTCAATAGTGTCTGCAGAACTGGTAGTGTCTACAGATAATAGTGTCAACAGGTAAATTTCATTTTTCCAAAATGACATGCTACTTTGCATCAGTTAATAATTAGAAGAATATGTATCATGTTTGATTTCTACTCCATTCTTTCATGATTGGCTCAGAACTTCAGCTGGAAATCAAACATTATTGAGAGCTTGTCTGCACGATCAATTAGTACACCGCAAGCCGGGGTGTACATCTTCAGTGCCCTAGCCTGCCACATATGAACTGGTCATGTGGACCCTACTGTATGAACCAGCTAGTCAAAGTGTATTATGGTACTTTAGCAAAAATAACAAGAAGTCCTTATGGCACCTTAGAGACTAACAAATTTATTTGAGCATAAGCTTTCGTGGGCTAGAACCCACTTCATCAGATGCATGGAGTGGAAAATACAGAGCCAAAAAGGCACTCAGAAGTCACCTACTACAAGACTGGCCCAACAAAGAAAGTAACGTCACTCAATAACAATCCTAAAAGTGGCAATTCTTCAACAACAAAAAACTTCAAAAGCAGACTCCAACATGAAACTGCAGAACTGGAATTAATTTGCAAACTGGACACCATCAGATTAGGCCTGAATAAAGACTGGGAGTGGTTGGGTCATTACAAAACCAAAACCTAATTTCCCCAATACTAATTTCCCCCTACTGTTACTCACACCTTCTTGTCAACTGTCTGAAATGGGCCACTCTGATTACCACTTCAAAATTTATTTTTCCTCCCTTGGTATCCTGCTGTTAATTGAATTGTCTCGTTATACTGACCTCATACTTGGTAAGGCAACTCCCATCCTTTCATGTATTTATACCTGCTCCTGTATTTTCCACTGCATGCATCTGATGAAGTGGGTTCTAGCCCACGAAAGCTTATGCCCAAATAAATTTGTTAGTCTCTAAGGTGCCACAAGGACTTCTCATTGTTTTTGCTAATACAGACTAACACGTCTACCACTCTGAAACCTATGGTACTTTAGTGTACAGTTGCAGGCTCCACATGGTGGACCCAGCAGACTAGCATATTGTATATTCCTGGCTTGCGATGCACTAAGTCTCCGTGTAGACAAGTCTTGAGTTTCCATTCCACTTTAGGAGACTCTATTGGTGGTGGGGAACACAGTGGGGAAAAAATCAAATGAAAAATGGAGCAGAGAGACAACACAGTAAAAAAGAGTTTCACCACCATAAGTGAGATCAGAATTTGGCCCAGAGAGAAAGAAACTCTCATGCAAAAATGCAATTTAAGTGTAGTATATAGGCAGCCTAGCTTTTCTTTTCTATCCTTAAACAGTACAGGTTTCCCTTTTGTTAGAAATTTTTTTTCAGTAATAAAATGTAATGGAGTGGGGAAGAAGCAGCAATATATAGATTCAAAATATAAGTATATTTGGCATGAGTTTGCGTGGCTGCATCACTCATGACTGACAGTGACAAGTTAGTCTGGAAAATCACATAGGGTTTTAAATAATGCAGATTCTTTGGTGATATATATGATGGTAAATGCTTAGATTTCTTCAGCTGCTACTATTATTTGTATCTCTATTCCTTACCTTCCATAAGAGGTACAGGCTTTTGTGTGAAAGAAATGGCAGACCTAATAGGATTTCAAACCTCTAAAATGATCTAAAAATCATAGGTTGCTGTCAGGATTTTAGGGTTTGATATCTTACGTAGTGGTTTGTCTTTTTTCTTTTTTTAATTTGTATTGGATTAGGACCTAGAGGCCCCAGCTTCATTGCACTAGGCACTTTACAAACATACAACAAAAAGATGATCCCTGCCCAAAAGACTTTATAATCTATTCATAAGATGATCGTGGGGCATAATCCAAAACCCATTAAGATCAACTGTAGTCTTTCCATTGACTTCAATGATCTTTGGATCAGACCCAAGATAAGCAGTGGTCACAGCACACCAGTTGCCTAACCAGAAGGGCTAGATACAAACACATGCAAACAACTAGGCCAGATACTTTTATAGTACTGGGAATCCTAGAATATCCAACTGAATAAAACATATTGTCCTCGCCCTATTTAATCACTAGATTTTGGACCTTAAAACAGTTACTGGTGCAAGACTAAGATTTTAGTCCTGAAAACTAAATCAAGATAATTTGAAGGAAAGAAGGAAAGAGTTTTGTGGAGAGTCTTATTAAAAAAAAAGTTTATGAGCTGCTCAGAGGTTTAGAAAGTAATAGCCCCAGTGGAGATGAGTAGGCACAATCGAGGTGAACTACTCAAAGATACCAAATAAATTCAGTTTATTTTGTTATGGCAATAATAAACTTATTTTCCCCGTGGTGGTATAACTACTTATGTGATATTAATATAATATACACCTCTACCCCGTTATAATGCGACCTGATATAACACAAATTCGGATATAACGCGGTAAAGCAGCGCTCCGGGGGGGCGGGGCTGCGCGCTTCCGTGGATCAAAGCAAGTTTGATATAACGCGGTTTCACCTATAATGCGGTAAGATTTTTTGGCTCCCAAGGACAGCGTTATATCGGGGTAGAGGTGTACATATCAGATATGATACAATCTGAGAACCAGAAAACATATCTTCTATTTCATTGGGAATTACTGTACCAAACATCCCACTGAAAACAAGGTACCTCCATGACCAGAGATAGTTACCCTAGCTTCTTTGGTTGCACCAAACATCTCTGTATGAGTGTAAGTGGACTCAAACTTTTAGTTTGGCTACCTGAAGATACCTACATCTATATTTCAATATAAATAATATGATAATAAAATGCATGATTTTTGTAGCTGCTGAGCCAATCATTTGAATTGGCTGGGACTTAGTGGGTGCATATAAAGCATCTCTGCAGATAAGGCCAGTTATTTAGGTGCTAGATTATGAATTTAGATGTCCAACTTTATGTACCCAAATCTGGCAATGATACTTTGTTTGAACTTTAAGGGAAGTGGGTAATAAGTAATGTTGAGGCAGAGGGTTAGTGTCATTTTTATGAAGCGATTTTTGTTTCAGCAGCAGGGAGAAAGGAGAGTTAAACCAGGATGTAATTGTAAAGGGAGAAATTTACATTTAAAGACAGTTGTAAGAAAATGAGAAACAACCATTTTATTCAGGAATGGTGTCCGAAGTAGTCTGTGCAGAGCTATTAGTAGATGATGCCATTTAAGTGACCAATTTTAATGATAGATGTATGAAAAAATATCCATTCACTTTACTGCAAGATGTATGGTAAAGAGGAAACAGTTTGGTGTATAGCCATTGTTAACATAGCCACTGTGTTGCTTTTCACTAGGTCCTGACACAGAGGATGTGGGAAGTAGTATGTCCACGTTAGAACGCTCACTTGCTGCCCGCAGAGCCACACGTGCCAAGCTCATGATTCCGATGGATTCACAACCAAGCAACCCTCGTGAGTAGTGCATCTCTTACTCCCGCTTACAATTTTCTGTGAGAACAATAGTGCATCTAGAGTCTCTTTCATTTGAGGATCTCAAAGTATCTTACAATATTAATTAATTAAGCCTCATAATACAACTACAGTAAGTAGCATTAACCACATTTTACAAAGGAGTAAACCATGGCTTCCCAAGGCTTCACAATGATTCAGTAGGTGGGAATAGAATCAAGAAGTCCTAACTTCCAGTCCACTGCTCTAATCAATAGACCACACATTTCCTATGTGTACATTTCCTATGTGTACAGTACTTGGGGACACACATTACAAAGAGTTATATTTACTATGATAATTGCTGTTCTTCGTTATAAAATTTAGCCAGCAAATGTACTCTTATGCATTACTGTGCAGTGTGATTCCCAACATGGATTACAGGATGGAGATGTCAAGTCTCTGGAAAGAATCCCTTGGTTTCAATGAACTGCTCAGCACACATTAAATCTAGACATTATTTGGTATATGTTACATTACCAGTAATCTATAAGGCCCTGATCCAGCAACCCATTACAAAGGTGCTTAACTTTAAGCACATGAGTGGTCCCATTGATGTCAATGAAACAACTTGTACTTTAAGGTAAGGAAGTACTTAAATATACTGAGGCAAAAATCATTCTTGGGAACTGTCTTCTTTTTAGGCTGTATCCACTTGTAGATAACGCGATCACATACACACTTTGACATTCCGGCCTGACATGCTGCTCCCTAAGGGGAGTTGAAAACATAAAAAATATTGGAGAATGCACAGGATAAAGATTCAGTGGGTTGGATTCTGATCTCATTTACTCCAGAGAAAATCAGAAGTCACATCACTGATGTTGATGGGCCTGATAATCCCCTCTCTCACACTAGACTTACGCTGCTATAACTGCACTAGCTGCAGTAGCATTACTCCTGATTTACCCTGATACAAGGGAGAGATGAATAAGGGCAGTGGAATTACACTGATGTAGAAGTGTTGTAGGCAAGATCAGAATCAAATTCATTGTAATTGCAATGGTACAATACCAGTATAAGTAAAATCAGTCCGCTTTATAGTATGTCAGTGTATATGGATACACATGCCGTTGGGTTTTTTAGGATCAAATCATAAATAGTTTTAGAAGGGTGAGGTCCTGTTTTCTATCTCTATCCTACTCTCACTAGTATATGTCTAACAGAGAGATTATAATATATAATGATACATGGGGGAAAAATCGATCTCACATTTAGGTCTAATTTGTGAACTTTTTAGGCTGGGTTCTAATGAACCTGTTTCTTTCTCCATAAAATACAAGTGGATTGTTTTTGAGGGGCTTTATCATATTTTTTAATTTATCTGACTCAATGTGCCAAACACTGAAAGTAATATGAAATAAGCTATAGAAAGGACCGAAGAAATGAAAACAGGTAATTATTCTGAAATAAAATAAACACATTGGCACTGTTAAGTGGCAAAATAGAAGCGACTTAAGCTGATCTTAAAAAGCACAGAAAATCAGTTTATTTGGGTTCTTCATTCAAATGAGCTGTTGAATGAAACTTTTTGTATTGACGTGAAAGGGCAAAACATTGGTGAGTTTCATAATGTTACAAGAAAGACTGTTTGAGGCCATCATTGTTATTGAAATGTCGCCATCATGATACTCTTAAGTCTCTAAATTCCTTCACAGAAAGGCACTAAACTTAATAAAGCAATTGAAGGGGGTTTCATAGGGTCTTGGCAGATTACAGTCCAAGGATGCTAAAGTTAGTCTCAGTGGAAATCTGGTTTAATCTCATTAATAACGAAGACCTGGACCCACACAAGGACAAAATTGAAAAACAATTCAGAGCATTGTTTCCAATACATAACACACAATTGATCTCAAATACGCAGATCAAAGAGTTGAGAGCTGAGCTGAAAACCAGAAAAGAGGCTGAAATGCAGCTGATGATACATAGTCCTAAACACCTTCCTTCTCCCCAAGCATTTAAAATTAAAGATCTGAATTTCGATCCCAAGTCTGTTTGTGAAGAAGGCTATATCACAATTTGTTGTATCAAAATGGTGACAAGTTATGGAGTAAAATCTTGGAAAATAGGACAGTTGAATTCAGAGTGTTATCTATTGGTGAAAGTCCTGTGCACTTCTCAGCACTAACACAGCATTTTTTTTCATTTTCTGATTGGCTTAGTCAAAACATATTAATAGGGTAGGGTGACCAGATGTCCCGATTTTATAGGGAGAGTCCTGATTTTTGGGTCTTTTTCTTATATAGGCTCCTATTACCCCCCACCCCCATCCCGATTTTTCACACTTGCTGTCTGGTCACCCTATAATAGGGTAGGTGCTGATAACAAATAACTTGAAAAAAGTGTGTATCATTATAAAAGGGCAAATTTTTAAAAAGGAGGTAGACAAATTTTGACTACTTAGTATTATGTTCTTGTGATTTACCTACAGAATTCCAATCTATTCATTTTTTTATAAAACTTACATCTGTATGAGGAAGAAATATGCTCACAGAATGAATCACTTTTTGGGGTTTATTTTCACTGATTTTTTAATTAAGTCTTTTTTCCGAAATTGTGGAAAATCACAACAACCCTGTTTTGGGGGTGGAGACGATCATGTTGATGTTGTGTTTGGCAACATCTGGGGATTTTGGGCTACTGAGCACAGCTTTGGAATTTCTACTTCATAATCTCAATGAGACATACTTTGATTACATTTTTATTGGGCATAGTGAAAAAATTTTGACGCAGGAGGGCAGTGGTCAGGGAGCTCCAAAATTTGGCAAGGGAATTTCTGCTTTCAAACTCCTAAAGCATCCATATCAAATACAAATTCAATTCTTGGTAGGCTATGTCAGAACAAATTTCTTGTCATATTACAGAGGTTTATTAAAAATGCTTGAAGCTATCTTTTCCCTTAGCTTCTCTACATAAATATAATATTACAGTGAATACTTTGATTTTTTTAAAATTCTTATTACCTATGCCTTGGAGAAGAATGAAGGGATGGACTTCAATAAATGTGTTGGTTTTTTTATGACTCAATACAGAATGATTGTTTTTGCAGTGCATTAACAGTGTTACAAGCAAGAAGACTATTATTTAACCTTTCAAAAGTGTGAATAAAATGATTTCCACAGATAAAATTAAATCTTTGAATAGTAAGATTACTATTCTAAGGATGAGTAAATTGAACCTAGACATTTTGAATGTTCAAAATACTATGATTATCATTTCTTAATAAAAGTGTTGTGCGGTTCTACACTTCCCATTTTCCTCTGGAAGTACAGAAATGCCCAACAAAGACTGTGTCGTTTAGTGCTTAAAGAAGTAACAAGGAATAAGCTTTGGCACAGCCACTGACTCTTTGTGTGACCTTGGGCAAATTTCCCAGTTTACAACTCTGTGGTGGATGTAATAAGGGCTAGAAGTAATAATAATGTCTACTTTAACATTTATAATATTGTTTGCAATTCACGTGTGAAAAGTGCTACATAAGCCAAAAAAATTCATCATTGGGGCAAATCCTGAAGTTCCTACCCCATGTTTACTCGGGCAAAACTTTTGTTAAAGTCAGTGGGAGTTTCCCTGAGTAAGAAGTGCGTAAAAACCAGTAAAAGAATTCAGAATTTGGCCCATTATTTTTGTTATTGGTTGTTTATTCCTGGATTGTTCAAAACCAGAGCATATTGGAAATCACTCAGAAGAAATCCTGATTTCATTAGATTTTGAGCCAGTTTCCAAACCAAAATGATTCATATGCTTTGGAGAAGCTTTAAATGTTCAGGTGATTATGGTAATTTGTGCATAACCCATTGTTTCTCTTTCCTCTCTTTGTTGGTTGTAATTCCCATTAGAACTATTAGAGTTAAATGTACACACTGAGTGAGGAAGTAGGGTCAGTCTCATTTACACTGGTGTTAATCAGGAATAACTTTAGTAGAGTCACTAAGATTATATCCTGGCCCTTAAAGCCTTGATCCATCCATTTTCCTTTCAAATATTTGTCACTTAACAGGAAAATATTCAAACTTGTCTGCCTAATCTGCACCCTTGAAACGGGCATTTATGTTTCATACATAAAAGTGACTTTTTGTATGTGAAAATATCCCAGTCACATGAAACATGCCTATTTCTGTATACAGATGTGGTGTACGTATGTGTGTTGGTGTGTCTATAAAGAGCATACACGCATTGTTTGTTTGTTTATTTATTTATCTATTATTTATATCATCATAGCATTTAGGATCTAGTCATGGATCAGGACCCCACTGTATCAGGCATGATACAAAATACATATTTTGTGGCTGCAGTTTGGGCACCCTGCTTTGGAAATGTAGCCATTTGTAGTTTTCTGCTAGATCCATCCATTTATTTTTAACCTTCCACACATACCCACAGAATGTTAAGAGATCTTTAATTCTCTCTCTCCTTCTCTCTCTCTTTTCAGCTGTTGTCAGTGCCATCCCAGTGCCAACACTAGAAAGTGCCCAGTACCCAGGAATTCTGCCATCTCCAACATGTGGATATCCGCACCCGCAGTTCACTCTCCGGCCCGTGCCATTCCCAACACTCTCTGTTGACCGGACCTTTGGAACAGGAAGAAGTCAGTACAGTGCCTTACCTTTTATTTTGATGTTTGTTGTCTGATTAAGTGTTTTGAAGTGGTGTTTAGACTGGAAATAAGGCATACGTTTTTAGTAGTGAGGGTAATTAATGATTGGAACAGGGGTTGTGTTGGATTTTCACTCACTGGCAAATTTTAAATCAAAATCGGATGCTTTTCTAAAAGATCTGTTCTAGTGCAAACAGAAATAATTTTGTGAAAGTTCTATGGCCTGCAGGAGATCAGACTAGATGATCACAATGTGTCCTTTGTGACCTTGGAATCTATGAATCTATGAAATAGCAAACACAGTATTATTTTCTTATCAGGAGGACAGTATACTTTAAAGGATGGCTTATAACTAGCTTAGAGTTTGTGTACACATTCATTTGAACAAAATGACATCTCACCTCATGAGTGGGTTCCTCTGAGTGTTTTCTGGTATGAGCCAGTAATAAAAAGGAAAACATCTGCAGTTGTGTAGTACAGTATAGTTTTGAAGTGTAGTAAGAATGCATGCAGTCTTTGCAGTTAATTCCTTCTCCTCAAAGTTAACCAGTATACAATATAAAAAGAATACATGGTGGGTTGCATTTTCAAAAAGCACTCCATCCTGGTCTAACTCGAAATCAATGGCAAAATTCACATTGAAATCAATAGAAAAATGTCATTGATTTCAGTGGGAACAGAATTAGGCCAGTGTTGATTGGTCTTCAAAATCCCACCCAGCATTCTCTATATTAAACCCAGGTTTGCCAAAACTGCACTAATATTTCCTTACCAGCAGACTTGTTCCTTATAAAACATTGTCATCATCTACTCCTTAAATTCAGTGTTCTTCTATGTTTAATGCATTCTTGTGCATTTGGAGGATCAAAATATTATGGTAGAGAGCTCGTTAGTTCGTACCAGGTAGACTGAGAATACTGATCGGGGAGACACCAGAGAGCCTTGCTTCACACCTCTTCTTAGAGGTTGAAAGTTGTTGCGCCTCTTCAGGATCGTCTGTGTCAAATCCCCCAAAGTTTTAAAACCCCTTGGTTTGTACCAAAACAAGATTTATTAAGAATTGAAAGAGAATTGGATCAAAATAAAAAAAAACAATCTGCATAATGTATCTAGCCGTAAACTCTGCACCAAGTTATCTAGATAGGTCCAAGTATGTCATTAAACTTGGAAGAAATAGTGCATGCTTCTGGAGAAGGTATACTTTTACCAGCTTGCACCTTTGTCCGTGACAGTTTGGCAGGGAAGCATTTCTTAGACTCAGGCATCTCATATCATCCTTTGCCCCCTCATCCTCTCAGTTTACTTTAAACTGCCTTCCTATGGCATCTTCCACAAAGATATTACCATATATGGACCCTCAGGAAAGATATAACAGTCTTGCATGAAATAATAACACCTATCTCTTATGTAGCACTTTTCATCAGTAAATCTTAAAGCACTTTACAAAATGGGTCAGTATCATTATCGCCATTTTACAGATGCGAAAACTGGGGCACAGAGAGGTGAAATGACTTGTGCAAGGTCATCCAGCAGGCTAATGGCAGAGCTAGGAATAGAACCCATGTTTCCTGAGTTCCAGACCATTGCACTCTCCCCTAGCTCACACTGCTTGCCGTGGCATAGATTTGCCAGACTTATATTCTTTAGAGAAATAGATTAGTGTACTTTTTTTCCTGTACTCACTTTACAGTTTATAATGCGCTTTGGAAAGCATATGCACACAACAGTTGTCCCTCAGCCTCACCTTCACACCTTATTTTTAAATAAGCAGTCCTAACATCATGGGCCATATGTTCTAGCCTATTAACATGCTTTTGCATGTTAATTATCCTAGCTCGAGGGCTCATATTTTCTTATAATTCCCGCTTAACTTTATTCTACTCTTCAGTATGAATTGCTGACATATTTATGTCAATCTATCACACACATTTTTCATATTCCTGGCAGTCTGTGCTGCTAGTTCATGGAGAATAAATTCCATGAGTGGTTTTTCTCCTGTTTGATTTTTGCTTTCAGTCATTATGGTCAGACCCAGATGGACTGTCAATTGACATTTCAGTAGAAGGCTTATTGGTAGACTGTGGGCCTAGATGTTCTATCCATGAACGCAGTATCATTGTCACCTTCTTCCCCTACAATGACTGGGTCCAATACAAGGCTAAATGGTAATTGCCTCTGGAGGGCCTGGCTGGGGCAGCTAACTGCTGGCTGGATGTTTCTGTGTGAGAATATAGACCTCCCTCACCCCCAAATTATCACAGATTTAACACGCAGAAACACAGGGTCTTCAGCTTTTTGATGTATGGACACCAGACTTGGGAGGAGAATTTTAACTTCACATTACAAGATGTTGGATTCTGCCTACCCATGGCAATGGAAGAGAAGATTGACAGATTGGAATGTGTGGTCTTTATCCTGGAGAGTTTAAAAAAAAAATGTGGATGCATGGGCAATTGCACCTCTGATAGGCACTTTGATAGTGTTCACTGGGGCAATGTGGAGCAGGGATCGTACATTTCATAAGTATGTTTCATGGTACATTTCACAAGAGATTATATATTTAATAAATTGTCAGCAAAATAACACAAAGTAAGGCATGCACAAACTCGACACTCCCCTGAAGAGCAATGGACAGGAGGCTGGTGTCCTGTCCCCCCATATCTTGTAGATGGTTTCCAACAGGGTGGATTGGAACATGACTGCCTCTTTTTGAGAGAAAGCCCTTTGCTCCCCTCTCTGGACTCTGCTAGGTCAGCCACTATCATCTTGTCCTCCTTGTGGCGTTACTTCATCTTTTTTCTAATACCTCCAGACCTCTCCTGTGACCTCTCACAGCATCCACCCCATCAAGTGCCTTCATCCACAAACAATTATTTTACATGGCCCCCACATTGTCAGACTTCTCCCCAGAGCATGTCATAGCACACTTCAGTCATCTGATCAATATCTTACCCTTTTCTTGTGAAAAAAATGCATTTTTGAACTGAGTCTGACCAACCTGCCCACCCTGGACTCACCGCTGGAAGCAGGTGGTGAGAGCAGCTGAGCATTTCTGTACAGCAGCGATTGGTCCAAAGCAGATATTTCTGCAGCTCTCCAGTAGGAATTGTGAGGTACTTCTCTCAGAATGATATCTTGAAAATTTCTGGCTAAATATTTCGCTTTTAGACAGCAGAGTAGAAGTGAGGAGCATTATCTGTGGCTAAATTCCCACACATGCAACAAACCAGGTGGGAAGTCAAAGAAGACATTGTTACTTCTGCAGCATCCATCAGAGATGCAGGAGACTCAGCTGAGAAATATGACAGAAAGAAGCGCCACAAAACTCCATACCCAAAAAAATCCAGAAGGCAGAAACTATTTTCATATATGTTGTTTGTTTTATCAAACAACCAGCCAAGCAATTGCCTAGCTTTCTGTAACAGCATGGTGGGTTAGCTTTCTGCCTGAGTGGAATGGAGAGGAGGCTATATAGATAGATAGATTTGTGTGTGTGTGTGTATGTATGTTCCTGCTATCTCTACTAATGCTCCCACCACTGAACACAGGGACTGGCAGCAGCACATAAAAGAATGAAAGAATGGCTGTGCTCCTTGTTGCACATTTCCTTCCTGCACACTCAGCCAGCAGACAACATTAAAAAGCAGCTGGAGCATCTGCTTCATGTTTGAATCACCTTACCAGGTCTCCCATATGGCTTCTCTCCTGCAAGAAATGGTTTCAGCAAAATTACTCTAGAATTCTGACTCAGTCATATCCACTTCTTTGTCTTAATCTGATCATGTGGGGTTTTCTTGACAGTGAACTGCAATTGAAGATCCTACGAGGGAAGGTGCATAAGGTACATTTGTATCCATTTGAACCACACAGTGAAAACCCCATGAGACTCTTGCCCCATTGCAGTAAAGTTTAAAAAAAAAATACATGCACTGCAATAATTCCTTTGCAGTGAATTCTACCTACTGTACTACATGGCTGAACATGCTATTGATCAGGATGTAGCAATCTTTGAATACATCATGTGCAATGTCATTAGGGAGAGTGTTGCTGTGCATTCTGCAAAGTGGACCATGCTTGAACACCTCTTTCTGTTCCTGAAATCATTCATGGTTGACCTCAAAGCTTCTAGTGTTGAAAATCTTCCTTAAGCCAAGTTTTACTGTTCATCTTCTACTGAGAAGAAAACTAAAAAAAAATAAAAAATGAAGGGCTAAGTCAGAATCAACCAGAACCTCCTTGAATAATAAATCTGCTTGTTTGTTTTACACTATCAGTGAAATTTATATAAACTAATTATTATACATTTGCTTTTCTATCCTTGCTGCCAGGAAATATATCTGTGTCATATTAAGGTGGCTTCACTCTGTGCAGCAGTTCCTCCTAACCATTAGCCTTCACCTGAGGAATCTGTCTGGTCTCTATTTTGAGCTGTTTAACGTGTACCTCAGGAGGCTGGAGAAAGATTGTGAGATGCTGTGGGCTGCAATGTCATCAGACTTGCAGAAGACACTCAGGTTTGTCTCCTCCCCATCAAGCACAGACAATGCTGTCCCCTTGAGGTCTCAGAATATGAGAGAAATGAGCAACTGGATGAGACCTGATGATTCATCCTCAACTAGGAAAAACACTGAAGTGGCACTGGTCAGGAAGAAGCAGTTTTAAGGACTAGTAGGAGCTGCAGTGTCTCCCTCAACTGGGGGAGGGGGGCAGAATATGAGTAAAGGCAAGATTGTTAGTTGTAAAACAAAAACCAAAACAAACAAAAACCTAAAGAAAAGAAGAAAGAAAGAAACAGTCCTCACCATTTTGAGGTAGCACTACACAATTAGCAAGGAACTAAGATAGCTTCACCTCCTTCAAAGTGTAAAAGGGAGCTATACTCATTTTTTTTATTAAAACAAATCTTATTTCTTGACAATGTTTCCTCTTGGAGCTAACGGTAACAGTGAATATTTAATTCTGGTATTTTAGGGAGGAAGTATTGTTAAGCC